TAAATACACATTCACACTACATATCAACAAAGAAGAGCAAGATGGCCGACTGGTCCGACAGAACGAGGGGTGTCCAAAGGAGTCGTCCGGTTCGAGCGAGCTGGTCACAAGGAGCAAGAGCGGTTGCCTGGTGGTGAGACTACCACACACCCCTCCAGATAGGAAAGGTCACAGGCACATTTCTCACGACTAACGTAACGTAACGTGTTGGAAGAGGCACTAGGTTATGGGCTTACTAGCATTAGTTGATGAGGTTTTACAAGCCAGATTTAGCATAGCAGCGTAACAAGTGCTCAAAACATAAATACTGTCAGTTATATTGTTAAACAGGTTAAAAAAAACCCACTAACACCCACTAACATCTGGCTTTTGTATTTAACGGGAAAGGTTACAATCGACATTCACTCCTGGGGCAAATGACTCTGCAGTAGTCATGGATATTCATCGGCTCCAGCTACTATCAGCTCCAGTTGATGAGGATGCAGAGCCACAAAATACCGCCTGTCTCTGCCCAAGCAGTGCTCAAACGTTTGCCAAAATTAGCTGGCACTGAGTTTAAAAGAGAGACTCAATAAGTACCAGATATGAAAAAGAATAAACCACCTTAACATTTTCACTGCCCTCCATGCTGCTTTCTCCTGTTTACTAACCCTGTTTTCTGGCACATTCCTGATGTCAAACATGCGAACCAGGAAAGTGTGGCAGTTTGACCATGACATATACATACTAATTTTGGTGTGCAGTGTGCAAAACAAGGCAACGCAAACCCACTGATGAATTACTGAACGGGTTTGCCAGGGCACAGGCCCTGTGGCCCAAAGTGTCAGGCGCACCCCTGGCCTTTACCTGCAAAATGTCACCCAAATAAACACGTAACAAGCAGCAAGACTCTAAATGATGACAATGAAGGACACAAAAAGACTATGAAAAGACACCAAACCACTACAAAGATAGGTGGTGGGGCCTTCTGTATGTCTCATAATCCGCCCATGCACAAACCCATTGGATGTATACTTAACGAGAAATAATGAATAAAATAATATGTAACTAACTGTGTCTGTGTCCTTTACTGTTCATTACTTTGCTTCCCTTCTATTGGACCATCATCCAATCCCCACAGCGACAGGATATCCTTGTGGACTTCGACCAGCCAGTGTTATGAATCCTGGTATTTTGTTGTGATGGAAACATGGTTCTTTGAAAGCTCAGTATGAGCACAAATCAGCCACTGCTTACCAGATTTGTCTTTGTCATATGGAACAATTCTGGACAGATTTTATTATGGTTAAAACAATTTGTTCTAACTGCTTTTTGTTGGCTCTTATAGTCCAAACAGCCACATGAACAATTCATAAAAATAACAGGATTTATCTGATGAATATTTTACACTTCAGTCAGCCATGTGGAGATGGGATAAACAGGACACAGCCGTGCTGGATTGTTGTTTTCTTTCTTTTGTCAGCTGACCAACCTCTGCCGCACACATGGCAACCGTCGCTGTTTGCATTTATGTCTCTGTCATGTGTTTTCCTTCTGTCGTCTGTCCAGCCCTGCCGAAAACATTGATGGTGGAACACAGAGTGTGGTGCAGGATTATGGGGGAAGACATGAGGGACGGATGGAGAGTGGCAGACAGAGAGGCACGGTATCAGAGAGATGAGAAATAAAAAGGGGCAGACTTAAAGAGCAAGGGGCAGGAGAGACAGAGAGAGGCAGGAACAAGAAGCAGGAGGAGGAAAGGGAGACGGAGTGAGTTGTGTCAAACGGATAAATGTCAGCGGGAGCTTCATCGTCCGTCTGAGCTGAGCTCTCCCTCCCAAAATGCCATGTGTAAATCGCATAGCTGGGGCCCTCGGCCAGCCTTCCCCTAGCACTGTAATGAGATTACAGACCTCTACAACACTCTGTGTGAGTGTGTGAGACAGAGAGAGAATACTATTGAGCCTGTGTGGAAGTGTACAATTTCGATGGCTTACACGGGGCCAGCGAATAAGCGGCATTACTCTCACCACCAAACAAGACGTATCGAGGAAGATTTGCCTACTTATCTATCATCCCACACACACATGCTCGGTGGACTCTTTTTCACCCTTCTGTTACTTACAGCTGCATAAAAGAAGTGCTGATTTTTATCAATGTGGGTCAGTGTAATAAGCCTGTCACTTTAAGAGATAAACATTTTATATGACCAGTGCAGAACCTAGCACACTTGGTGCCCTGGGCAAGCTTCCCTTGGTTCCCTTCTTTTCTTTGGCACTGCGCCCCAGATGGCTTTTGCCTTTTCATTATCTCTTACTCTTATAATGCTGGGTGAAAGTCTGGTGTCTGCTGGACCCATCCAGCACCCCTCCTTAAGTTACATTGTTGTAGGGCGGCATTTCAAACTGACACCATCTGGAGGCGTTATAAAGTGACGCCACTTGGATGCCTTTTTTCGTCAGTGTCCGACTCGGAAATCACTTACCACACAGCAGTATTTGACAACTCTGGAATGAGAACAGGTTGCATTGCCATGACTAGAGGTGGTACCCTTGCTACAGACTGAACGTTAGAATTAGATCTTTGGATCATTTTCCCCTTTCGGACAAACACAACCGCATCAGACGCGTCATGCATCAAAAAATACGCCCCTATTATTTTCAATGCACAACCCCACACTGGCGGCAGCTAGACACATATCGGCACTCCTGGACGTGCCACCTCGCAGCACTTTACGCCACTGTCCTACTTCTAGCCTCACCATCACTGGCGTTAAATGCATTTTCCCCCCACTTGCTTCCTGCTTGTACGTACCAGCTCCCGTAGCAGCTCTTCTTCTCAGCTCCTATGGTAGCTCGACTCCTCTCCTCACCGTGGATGCACAGAGAGAACTCTGACGATGACGAGAGACTTGTTGTTGAGGTCGAAAAATATTTCAAGTTAAACGTCCCGTCATTACAAAGACAATGGCCAAAAAGATATTGCTTGGCGAGTCTAAGCCCTGGAGATTGGCTCTTCAGATGAGAAATCGAGTTTAATTAGGGGCTCTCCACACATGATTTTAAGCTAATTATCTTCTATTTTTATAGACTGTTTCAAGGCATCTTTCAGTTGCTAGGAAATGCCATCGACCATTACCATGGTATGTCTGGTTCAACCACCACTGCACAAAAACAGAAGTGAAATACACTGTGGGAAATGGTAGAAATACTTTTTGGACCCAAAGAAATAAAAGTCTGCCACTCTCCCTAAAAACGGTGGACAGTGTAGCTGTTCAAGAGAAAAGAGCATTTGTATTTGTTTGTGCTGTTTGTCTGTCCCGTCATTTTCTTTCCCTGAAATATTACAAAACTTACCTATAATGTAATGAGAACCCTGGACTTTCCAGACAGTGTCCATTTCCTATGTCTAAGTGCGGCAATCTACGCTTTGCGCTAGTTAATTTCTTTAGGGAACTGGTGGACTTATATTTCTGACATCAAGTTTATACCTTGTTGAAGGGAGCAACCTGAGCACCGAGGTCCTAAAACTAATGTCACCATTTCCCACTGCGTGTCTTTAAGTTCAGGAGGACTTGAGTTCAGCGTTTTATATGCTGTTTCAACACGGTCTCATCATAACTCGTCAAACACTGCTGCTTTGTCAGTGGACAGACACATGAAAATATGAGGTGCTGTGTCTTTTCAAGGTTGATTTCTTTAGGGTGAGGCAACAAACGCATGGTTAGATTTAAGAAAAAACATCATGTTTGGCTTAAAATTCACACTGGAACCAAACAGTGGACTTCTAGGCAAAAGTCTGGGGTTTGCATGACCCATCCACCTCCTCTCCCACCCGTCCTATATGGACTTTGACTCTCTTTGGAATGGAGCGACGCCTGTGAATTAGTTCAGGCAGCTACATGTCATACGTCACTTCTTATATGTCATCTACAAAATACACCCTCCTACTTTGGCGGTCTATTTAAGCTGCAAAATCTCCTTGGTCTCGTCGGTGCCACTGCTGCCCTGCATCAACATTGCTGCTTGCTCTTTTATCCCCACCTCCACCCCAGCATCCACCTGCAGGCTCCGGCTAAGTGGGGGCTAAACTCTAACTATGTTCTTCTGTTGAAATAAACATTTAAATGTGAGTTGTCTGACTGAATTACAGTAGTTGCTGGTGGCGTTACAAACTCCAGCCAACCGGGGAGTGACATACTGCTGTGTAGGGTGTTGCTCTGTGTCTGCTGCTGTAGCCCACTGGCTCTAAAACTGACGTGCCCGGTGTGTATGTTAACCCTGTTAAAAGGAACCACGATGTTGATTCCCAGCAACCGAAAGACGCCTTGAAGAGGTGTATTGGAAGATTCGCCACTGTATATGACTTTTAACTTCAACTTAGGAGGAAGTCTCTATTGGATTACAGTGCTGATATGACATTAAAAATACAGAATAAACACACTAAATCTTTATTATGGATAGTGCACACATATCTAAACACGCTGATACAGTCTGCACAGGAGCACTGCAGCAGCACTATGGAGATATTAAAGGAGATTAAAATGTCATTATACTATAAACTCATTATTAAAGCATAGAGTCCCCATACAGGGATATATATCTGCTACAGTCTAATGCCTCATCCTGCATCTCATTATTATTTAATTTCTACACTGTGGAACAATACAGCAGCCTATTAATACTGTTTCCAGCTCCTGTTTGTGAGCACATGATGTTTACAGCACGGCTTCTCCTCTCAGACTAGCCTTTCAGACCTTCTTCCAAATCTAATATACCCATCCATAAATAGCTCACCTATCGAGCCCATATTCGACTTGAGTGACGTAACGCTGGAGCCAATCCCGCCCGCTAAATCTGCCTAACCCCGCCTCTCCACGCTCCGTCGCGGCTCAAATAACCCCTCAACCGCCCATTCGCCTTAAACGGACAAGCAGGGGGAGTTGATTGACAAACCAAACAACGCCCCTTCGTTTACCAAGCCCCTCCCCTCCTTTGGCTCCCTATCAGTGTCTAGTTTGGCAACACGGATACGCATGGAGCCTCCATCACCCCCTGTCTCTTTTACGCACCGAGTCCGATAATGCGCGCAGGTACAGGGACCCTAATCGCCACATTTCCAGCCGCCACACTGACAAATTAATTTTCTCTTATGGACTAATATTAAAGAAGTGGATGCAGAGGTCTGACACAGCCAAGAAAGGAGGCACATTTCTTGTGGATCATTCTTGTTTTCCATCACCGAGCGCCAGCATGGATGTCTTAGCGAACCACAGTATCTTTCAGGAACTTCAGCTCGTTCACGACACCGGCTACTTCTCTGCCATGCCTTCGCTGGAGGAAAACTGGCAGCAGGTACGTGTCAACTTTCAGCCCTACAGCCGGCGTGCATCATCTCTATCCGGCGCTTTAAACCACACGGTCCGCTCTCTGATTGGGTTCACACGCGCTCGGGATGCAGGCGTCAACTTTTCTCCCCAAAGCGTGGTAGTTGAGGGAGAAATAAGGAGATGAAATGCTTTTCATCACTCATATATCTGACAATTTTCCCAGAGATGGCAAAGTGGATAAGATGCGAACGCACGCCGGCGCGTAATAAAGCTGTCAAATGCGATTTAGGAAAGATGAAGATCCGAATCCCATAATAGGGACTGAATTGATCGTGAATAATACATCTGCATCCCTCAGATTACTGAGTAGTGAACCCCCCCTGCACGGAGAGAAGTCCCTTCACTTATTCATTATAGATACCCTAACATGTCTGGCTTTGTACCATGTTTTAAATGCAGCGGTGGAAAAATGTGTAAAGGCAGCGCAGGAGAGGGATAACTGTCATCTGCGTGTTCACCTGCACGTTTTTTTTAAACCCACCTCACACACACTTACTCCATCCAAGTTCAGAGGATGAATATGGGGAGATAAGCACGCGGCCACATGGTGATGGTTGCGTGGGGGAGACGCACCGGCACTTTACACGGCCATTACTGATCTTATATTCCTCACACATCTCGTCTCTGTTTATGTCAGCCCAAAATTTCATAGTGGAAAATATACTTGTGTGTGTGAGAGAGAGAGTGTGTGTGTGTTTCCGTGCATTTTAATTGTTCAAAATGTTACTAATACATGCAGAAATATCGTCTTTCAACATTTTCTGGTGAAAATGTGCGTAAAATCTGCACTTTTAAATATCCAACATGGGTTTCTCACCTTAATATGTCATTTTTTTTCTTCTATAATATCAATTTGTTTGCACCTGCCATGCATAAGAGCTCCATCTCTCACTAAGCAACCCTTCCTTTACCATATCTAAGTCAAAATAAGGGCCATGCAGCCGTCGGCCCACCTGCAATGCTGCTGCTGCTGCTGCTGGTGATGATGCTTTCCATGCTGCACTTCACTGACCGAGCAAAAAAAAATCATTGCATGGAAATTTGATGCCGGTATTGTTCATGCAATAGGAGCTTCAGCTTTTCCCCACTTCTCTGCTCCATGCGTAAGAAGGGAGGGAGGAGTGACGGGGGGGGAGAGAAACCGGTGCGTGACCGCGGATCCATTCGTTGTGGCCAAGCAGCCTAATTGGCATCCAACTGTTAGCCACTGACGCATCTTTTCATAACAAGTCTCCAACTCCCAGCTTCACTGTCAGTGGATTTTTAAATTGCACGGGGCCTGCGTGTACCATATGCAGCGCGTGTCTTTCTCTCCCTGTTTCTCACCCACAGCCTGCGAAATCGATACCTAATGCAAATGGAAGAGAGGCAGCTGCGTGTGAGGCAAAAAGGCTGGGGAAGCTCTCATCTGTGGAGACTGGAAATGTCAGTTTTCTGAAGAGACAACGTCCATTTTGGAATTAAGGAAAATCATCAAGTTTCACAGTCACTGTCTCTTAAATGTGGAGAATGTACACGCAGATACGTGCTGTTATTCGGCAGTTGCATAGTGTGCATTCTGCTTTTAGATTGTATGAGAAAATGCTTTTTTTTTAATATGAGACATCAGATTTTAGAGATGAACTCAGCTGTTGAACCTGGCTCATAAAGCAAGGGTTGTGTTTGGGGTCCTCCCCAAGGAAATTTGGAGCATCAGACACTTAATATTGTGCATTCTGGTGAATTTGTATGCATCAATTTCTGCCTCCTCTGCATCGATTTAAGATGGAATTGTCTTTACTTTTGTCAAAATGAAAGTCCTCTGCTACTGTCATGAAATACAACATGGACACACATATGAAACGGGGATGTTTGGGGGTCATCCACCTGAAATTTTGAGCATCAAACACTTGATTCCCCACATTCTGTCAAAATCAAATTTGTCTTTTATTGGGGGGGACAAATGCACATGTTCCAAATATATTGAGGGGGACGAGCCCCCCTGTGTCCCCCCTGAAATTTACGCCTGTGCCATATACTGATAGACTTTTCAAAAATGAAATGTCACAGGTTCCTTTGCTGATTTATAGATCTTCACAAGGGTGTATGTTTTGATCAACATTGGCGGGACACACATAAAACGGGGGGTTTGGGGGGTCCTCTGCCTGAAAATTTTGAGCATCAGACACTTAATTTTCTGCATTCTGATGAATTTTATGCATTTATTTTTGCCTTCTCTGCATCGGTTTACGACGGAAATGTCGTTTTAATTTTGTCAGAAAAGTCATCTGCTACTCCATGGTTTATAGGGGGGACATATGCACATGTGCTAAATATATTGAGGGGGACTTGCCCCCTGTGTCCCCCCTGAAATTTACGTCTGTGTCTACTGATAGTCTTTAAAAAATGAAATGTCACAGGTTTCATTCCTGATCTATAGATCTAAACAAGGATGTAGGTTTGTAATTTGTGCCTTTTCTGCATTTAAATGTCTTTAATTTTGTCAAACTGAAAGTCCTCTGCTACTTTCATGTCTTTATGGGGGGGGTTACAAATGCACATGTTGTAGATATTGAAGGGAACGTGTTCCCTGCACCCCCCCTGAAATGTACACCTATGACACACTTCTTGCACCTTTAGCCAGTTTTTCTACTTAAAAAGCGCAGATTTAATCCTTTTTTACAGCATAAAACTAATTATTTGCCATGATCCCGATTCCAGAGAGCACCATAATTAAAGAAAACACCAAACAGGGCAGGGGGTGGGTGGGAATAAATCATTTATATAGTTTGAAAAACACTTTTTCCAATTTGCAGGCTCAAAGCATCCTGTGTCCCATAACGAATCATTGGAGCAAATATCAAACTTTTTGGAAAACAACCCTTATTTGGGATGAGAAGATTGCATTGTGTCCTTGTGAGCACAAGGATTATGACTTGCCCCACACTTTGAAGCCCCCTGCTCTCTCTCCCCACACAGCACACAGAGATGTTCTTGGCAAAGCGATCCTTGCGTCCATTGTAGCAACATGAAGACGCCACCGAGCCCTCCTGAATACATGAATTATGAGTCGTGGCTCACCTTAAAAGCTCCTGCCTCCAGCAGAGACCCGCGGCTTGAGCAATCCCCTCTGTATTCCAGGCACAATTTAGAATTTGATGCTTTTATGGGGTCTGATGGTGAGATAGGAGGCCGTTGTAGTCAAACCCTAAATGGCTCCCTGAGATGCGATGGCAAGAATGATGACTGTGTCCCCTGTTGGTGTCTGTGAGGCATGATTCAGGCGCTTATAGGGGGATGGGGAGTAGAAAAGCAGGAAAGTGTTTTGGAGGTCTGCAGATGGTACATTTCAGGCTGCTATTTGTTCCATTATTGAACTAAATAGTGCCAAACTGAACTGTGCTGTCTCGCTTCCAAATCCCAGTACAGTTGGTTGTTCAGAGTTGGAACAAACAGCAGGGCTGAGCTGGATTTGGAACAAGCATAGCTGGTCATAACTTACTCATTATATGTGGAACCCAGTTTCCCTCAAAGCAAAGTGTACACGTGGTATTTTGCATCTTCATACCAACAGACATCGCTGTTGATGTTGGCTGCAGTTTCCAGAGCTTGTTACACTCTTTTGTAAACTGGCATTCACTGTGATAAAGCCTCATTTGGCTTTACTGTCAAACATGTATCAGCTTCTTCTGAGCATTCGGAGGCCAAAATATAAAAGACAAAACATCTGGATCGGATTTCAGGCTGATATGATAGATTTTTCAGGCTCGCTGATGACGTGCCCTCACCCACAGCACTTGACCCTGATGGATAGGACGTAACAGAACACCACAAATGGCTGTCTGTCATTGACCTCAGGACACACTCCATACCGTCCAACACATAAATTATCCCTGAGGGGCTCAACACACACATGTAGACTGAACGCCTGAGGCCTACCCAAGCGAAACGTCTGTATGTTGCTGCATGGTGCATTATGGGCTTCTATATGTGGATGTGCACAGATTGGCTTGGGTGTTTCTAAATGTGGAAGGAGCAGCAGGGCGCTCCGGCGCGACCTCCATATGCAAGCCCGCATGCTCAGATGCATCCACTTACATCCACTTCTTGCTCGTGACTCAATAACACGAACATTTCCCAGCCAGCAGCAGCAGCAGGAGCAGGAGCAGCAGCAGCGGCGGCACTGTCTGGGGGTGGGGGCGGAGGGGGTTTGCAAACGTAGAGGTGGAGGAAGTTGCAGAGCATGCACATTCTCCCCGCCGCAGGGTTTCACATTTCACAGTCCGGTGGGCTCGAACCCCCCCCAAGAGCGACGAACACACTCAGAGAGACAGTCGGAGAAGAAGAGGGCAAGGATGCATGGTGTCCTGAGGATCAGGATGAAGAAGTAGGGATGGAGATGGATGGAGTTATTTTGTGTGTTTTGGCTGAGGCCTCCAAGCAGTGCCTCCTAGGCAAGTTCCCCTTGGGCACTCCCCACCCAAAAAATTTTTTTATTAAACACGCACTTTGGATATATTTTCCCTTAAGTTTTCTTTCTTTTTTTTTTAAGTTAAAAAAAGAAATTCATGGCCCCCCTTTGGGAGGCGCCCTAGGAAGATCCACCACTGCCTCCAAGCATAATTCCTGAATGGTCCTACCGGGCACTGAACCAGGGCTGAAAATGTCAGGGGGCCCTCTGGCCTTCACTTGCGAAATGTCAAATGCCATATTAACACATACTGACCAGGAAGAGACTCAAAAGGACCACAAAGACATGCAAAGGAATTACACAGAGACACAAAATAACTACAAACTTTGGCAAAACAGCCACAGAATGGCCTCAAAACGCCATAAAAAGACACACCTTAGAAAGACACAAAAGTACCTCAAAGAAGACACAAAATAACTACAAAGTGAAACACAATGACCAAAAAAAGATACAAAACTACCTTAAAAAGACACAAAATAATCTCAAAGAGGAACAAAATACTACAAAACAACCAC